CACACACACACACACACACACACAAGCTTCCTTTGCCAAGAAACTGGCTATCTTTATATGTTAGTAACTAAAGCCCAAACTGTGAGATAAAGGCTACTGACTATCTGGAGGTCTAAACAGGTATAGCCAGAAATGACTTCTAACAGCCATCAAACTCTACGGCCTACGTACAGCTGTCTGGTTACCAAAATCCTCCCGTTTGGTGAATACACAGAGATCCCCTTGGAGGTAAGTGTGGACCACAGAACTGCCAGCCACCGGTCATGGTAAAGAAGCTGTCTCGTGAAGCAGTCCAATACTGTCACGACTGGCTGTCATCAGGCCCTGCTGGCAACAAGGGGAGCTCACACCAGTCTGACCTTATTCTTAAAAGTTAACTGATCATTTCTGTGCTTCTGGAGTTCTTAAAGTGTTCAACACTGAGTAAAAACTGACCAAGATGGCTGACTAATGTACTGTTCCTTAATATGCTTTGCTTTCTATAACTGCTAAATTTAAGCCACTCAAAATCTGAACAGTGCCAACAACTTTAGTTTTACACCAATGATGATAGATAGCAAGTAACATTTTAAAAGTCAAAAGCAACTACATGTTGGAAAAAAGAAATGAGGAAATGAGACGGTATTTGGCAGGAGGGTTCAGCTCATTCTAGGTACAGTATTCCTAATAAGAATACGTGTACAACTACAGGCCTATTCAATTTTCTCCTAACAATGAAATGTACCTACACATACATGAAAAGCTATTATAATGAAATCTTTTCCAGGCTGCTCTGATGAATTCCACTTGCAACTGTCCCCAAATCTCTACACTGTGAAAACTCAGTGGCCATGCTGCTGAGCATGTGCCAGTTAATTCTACTCACACGGGAAACTGTGAGGCCCATCTGTACATAGAAGGCCTTTTTGGAGGAGTCTACTGTCATCAGTAAGTTTCCTGAACCCCCACCCACCCCACCCTATGACCCCAGGATTCATGGAACTGGAACATATACATTCCAAAACCACCCATAAAGCAAATACAGGGCCCATTGCATTGCTACTAGGTTTTGTTTCAATCATAGCACCAACTACAAAATTACAATCATAGCTCTAAGAGTTGGTTGACAGAAATCCTGTAAGCAGTTTCCTAGTGCATCTTACATCTTTGGTGTAGGGCAGGCGAAAGGGTCTACAATGCGATTGTCTAAAAGGAAATCTTAAAGACAACCTGGCTAACCTGTTATTCTGAGCACCCTCTGGAAAGCAGTAAACTATCATTCTTTCCGTCAACCATTTCCTAACTTCAGAAAGGATCATGATGAATCTACATGACATGCCATCATGTCACTGAAGTCTTATAGCACACAAACACACACCACAGAAAACAAGAAAGAAAGACGTAAGTTGGGATAGGGTAGAGATGTCTCTTAAGTGCCTCTAAATTAAAACTTCAAAAACTCCTGAGTAATGAGCCTCCATTTTGATTGTGCTCAGTGACTTATGTTTTGATGGAAAGAACAAGCTTTCAAAGAAGACTTTAGACAAAACACTTAACACTAAATTCAGAAATCATTCTTTCCAAGTTTCTGTTTCAAACATGTTGTAAACTACAATCTGAAATCAGGAATTATCATTTCTGCAATTCTTTTTAATAAAGCCAGGATTTCAGATTCCTGCTAGGTACATAAGAGAGCAGTTTATTTTCCAGGTAAGAATTATCTAAGACCTATCCAGTAGGATTATTGCACAGTGGGGCCCACAGGACCATGATTTCCAAGGGCTAGTCCTTATATAAAAAAGGCCACAATACATACATCTATACATTATGCCCCAGCTCTAACATGGCATGGTAAACACAAATAGGATGAATCTTGCTTACAAAAGAAACTCCTGAGGAAAGAAGGGGTGAAAAACTCTACCAAGGCCACTTGAGTCAGAAACTGCAATTACTATTTCCGCTGCCACGAAGGACACTCACCAAATAGACTGACCACTCCAAGCACCAAGATGAACCTGTTACGAGGTTATCACACTTCAGTATTTTACTCAGATCATGGCTTAAACTGAGCTTGTGAAGAACTTCCTAGAAAATGAGTTTAGAAAGGAAATAAACTGCTGGCAATCAACCCATTAGCTGAATGTGAGTTCATCATTAGTCATTCAGGGTTGAAGATTATCCGTGAGACGCTAGCAAACCCAATCTCTAGTCAATCCCAGTGTTTAGGCCGTTATTTTTCACTCATGGTTCTTGACATCTACAAATGGAATTACGGTTTCTTTTTGTTTTCTTTTTCAAATTTGGGTAGCACCATGTTTCACGCCAACGTCCACGCTCCACAACATCCCACCCAATGTAAATAAAGGTATTTGGCAATCCATGCAGCAGCCTGTGATGCACAAAGCAGCCCCAGTTTTAAGCCCTCCCACTCAGCCTATTAAAATGTCAAATCCTAAGCACATGAATAAAAACATACCACTCTAGAAGGTATTATTCAATTATTCTTCAATTTCCTGGTATAATTAAGTGAACCATAATACACAGAGCACTGGGTATAATTCCAAACACCAAACTATGTGGTCAAACAATTCTAAACTGACAATAGAGTCAATAGCCAGACCTTGCCTATGGCACACACAGCTCTGGAGTACACTTGATCTGCTTTTAGCTGCATGGTTGGTGGGATTTCTCGTGGCTTCTGCTCGTCAAAGCATTCACTCTCATCCTAAAATGGTATGCTATACATGAAACCATCCGTTTTATTCCAGAATACATCATCTTAATGAGAATAAAAAGCTTTTGTATGCACATACTGCCAAGACATTTAAAAAGGCCCAAATTTTAACAAGTAGAAGAGACAAATTCATCAGACGAGAGATCATAAATTACTTTGGCCGAAAAAAATCTTTAAAAAAAAAAAATCTGGCTCAACATTCTGCTTGCAGGTTTCTATATATCCTGTGTTAAGTGGTGAGTGTGTACGTACATGTGTGTATATAGAGAGAGCTCTTTGTAAGGGAATGGAGTACAGTCTAGCCCACTTTCCCATAGTTATGTAGGAACTACAATGTTCTTCGCTAGCAAAACAAGAAGTGCAAGGTCTGCATTTCCACCTACTCGATGCAAAGCCCCAAGAGCTTCCTGCAAAGTAAAGCCGGCACGTAGAATCCGGTCAATGTCTGCAGCAGGAAAAAATGGTGGAAGAATGGAGGGACTTGCTGATGGATGGCTGGAAGGGGGTTCCCATTCAAGAAATGGCCTTGTAGATTCAGGACAGACATTTTCTCTGGTTTCAGGCCTGTCTGTTACTGGATTCGGTATGCCCTGACCCAAGTCTTTAACCAATATGAAACCAGACGACAAAGACTTAGTTTGCTCTGAAGTCTGATTGAGTGCATCCTTCTCACCTACTACAAGTTTGGGTGAGATTTCTACACCTACAGTGCAGTGTAATTGATTAGATGTTTTAGCTGAGGTTACAGTGACAGAACTGCTCTCATTTACTGCTCCCCTAGATTTGAGAACACCTTCCATATCAGCCGACAGGCCATTACCTGGACTCCCACCTTCTGTTTCAGTGCCTGATGAAGTGTCTGTTAATTTTTCTGTCTTCACTGATACAGACAAAGCGTGATAAAAGGAGACATGTGGACACTGTTCATTCTGGGCAAGATGCTCATTTTGGGTCTGCTGTTCAGAAAGGTCTACTTGGTCCTCAGCTACTGTTTCTGACTGACAGATACCTTCGTCAGATATGTTATCTGAAGCTGGTTTACTACTGATGACCAAAAGTTCATGAAGTTCTTTCAAGGCTGCTGTTACAGATGAACAAGAGTCTTCTGCTGACTCCACAGAGGGCTGACAACTGCCACAGAAACTTAAAGGGGAATAGTTGCTGCATTCTGTATTTGTTCCAGGTATTTCTACATTGCTTTCTGGGGGCTGTAAATCCTGAGTGAAAATGGAATTACTCAGAATTTCAGCAGAAGGATTGCATTTTGATGTTTCTACTTCCATCGAGGGATTATCTAAAGTGAGATCAGATATACTGATGCTCTTGACATTGGCATTCTGATTCTCTGCTGAATTAAGCGCAGCAACTAGGGACTGTTCAACTAGATCTACTTCCATAAGAGTTTCTAAATGTGAGCAGCCAAAGCATCCTGAAGGTGAAATACGGGTCTCTGTACTTGGGAGATCCACACTCTGCTGCGGCTCATCTCCTTTCACTGCACCTTCCAAATCGACACTGTTTTGTGGGTTCTGTTGCCTTTCTCCAGGAAGTTCCAGGTCCCCTATGCTATGGAGATGTTCCAGGTCACATGGAGCATTCTGCTGTGCAACCTCACTCTGGTCACACTCTGGTTCTTCGTGCTGCTCAAGGCCATTTGCTTGACTCAGGTTTTGATTTTCTGGATGCCAACTATTTTGGCCTGGAAGCACCTGTGGTTCATGCATCCTCATAGTTGTGACAGATAAACTAGTTTCCTGTCTTGTGTGGAGATGACATTTGAGACCCTGGGTGCTTCCTTCAGCAAATTTTTCCAAATTATTTGCAATTGCTTCCTCAGATGAATTCTGCAAAGGCATAGCTGGACTCTGGCCTGCCGGAGCGTGATCTGCTGAAGAAGCGTGCTCAGCAAGATCCTGCAGAGGAAGATGTACTTTCTGCTTAGAGACTATCTGGAATTCAGCTGAAGCCTTCAAAGCCTTCACATCTTTATGTTCGATGCTATCTGGGTCACTGGGCTCGACAGGGCAGACTGAAGCAGAGACAGAGCGAGCAAGACTTGTAGGATTACCAATCTCAGGACTCTGTCCTAAAGAATGGGCTGGATGGTTAAATCCATCTGAAGTTGGTAATGATGACATTCCCAGTGAGGTAGATTCTTTACCACTTTTCTCTATATGGAACAAGAGGGAAAGGAAAAAGGTTAACTAACAGGTACCAAAGGTCCTAAATTATCAAGAAGATATAAACATAATCACGATAGAATAAAATCGGGTACTTAAACTTGGGTTTCTCTTATACTTGTGGACATGATTTAAAAATACAAACCTTTTCTCATTGTGACAAACAACAATCACAGGATAAAATAAGAGGTAGGCATATTCTTACACATGCACACTGTAACTCACCATCATTGCTGAGGTGCCATTAATATTTATTCACATAAAGGCCAGTGAAGTGCTCAGGACTGAAGGATATTTATCTATCTTTATTCCCAGGAAGTTTAGAACTCTAGGGTAGCTTCTGCAGGTGTTCTCTGCTATATGCCCTAAGATCACCCGGGATGCTTGTTAAGCATGCAGACTCCAGGGTGCCATCTTTGGGAATAAACCCAGAAAACGATTTTCAGTAAGGCTCTAGAATGATACTTAAGTACAACACAAACATTGAGAATCTTCGCATTAGAATGATTCTCATGCCAATGCATTTCCATGTCTCTCATGTGAACCCTGAGGTTCACAAACAAGAAGTATAAAATCAGATACACCTGGGACAGAGCAGGAATTATACATGGAAATAAGAATTTACGTAATGCTATGTACTTTTCAGAAGATAGAGAAACATCCTATTTTATTTGTAGCCAAGTTTCCCCAAATCACGATAAATATATGACTGAGCAAACTAAAGGAGAGTTAATGATCAAACAGATTAAATTCTAGTCATCATCCTACCGAATAGTGCAACTTTAAAAGGGTTATTAGTTATTTCATTAGGTTGATAGACTACAACCAAGTTAAGAACACTTAAATACTTTAAGGTCAGGCAAATATGGGGTGGGGGCGGGCAGTGCAAGGAGACAGTTCGTAATAGTTATTCAACATGGAATGACTATTCAGATCCACTGCAACTTAATGACCACTCAAACAAGATGGCAGGCTTAAGCACTAGTCCAGTGTAATTGTAACAATGTCCTTAAATATCAGTTCCAACTCTCCTTTTGCCTCCCATCTAGTTTAAAAAAAAAAAAAAAAAGACCCCTTAGGCACTTAAAATCTTTATGATTAAAAGTCAAAAGGTTGGTAGAAAAAAACTTCACAATACAGTGAATCTACTAGCAGATGCAAGTCACACGACTAGGAGATGCAAGTCACACGCGTCCTGCTGAATGCTAACGCCCAAAGTGGCAGCCTCATTTTGACTTCAGTCCTGAAGAAATGCAGTCCTGATGCATGGCTTTCAATCATTTTAATAAAATGCTGGTTAACAGCATAAGGAGATAAGCCACTGCATCAGAAAGTAATTTTAACTTCCTATAAAATAATCTTAATAGTTTAGGAACAGACAGGAAAACCATATCCATCAAAATCTAGAAACATTTTGCTTTATTTATGAATCTCTAAAGCTGACTTTGAAAGAGGTTCAATTCTGAACTAATGCTAACAACAACAACAAAAAAGGCATTGTAGTGAAATATAGAAAGGTTTAACAATAGCTTTCTGGCATGGGTGGCCAATTACAAAAACCAGGTGAGGTCAAGGCGAAAACACAACCTTGATGGATTTTGTACTCACTATGAAAGCAGCATTTAGTCCTCCTGTAGCTGAGATGGTCAGTTTCACTGGCCTAAGTCCTAAATGTAGGGGAGGACTGGGTCAGTACTACAGGATAACAGAAGAGGATGAGGATAATGGATATTTAAGACTTATTAAACTATGCCTTTTGACCCATCCTCACAAGGGGGGAAAGGTAAGAGAAAAAAAAAACAAAACAAAACAATTAAATACTAGGTATCTAATTACAACCAGCCTGTAAATCCCTGTAAGGTCCTAGGGTGACAGTTTAAAAGACCTTTCCTCGTCATGATAAATCAGCCGATATACTCAGGCTGACATTTACGTAGTCACAACATAAGGAAATGGAAGCAGAGCACCCCCAAGGAAAATCAGGCCGGTGGCAGAAGGAAAAGCAAAATCTCAGCTTCTGTTGGGAAAATAAAATATAACTCCCGCTTATGTTGCTAGTTCTGACCCTGGACAAGTCACCTGGCCTGAGCTGCCCCTCTGTCATTTCAGGTAGTCACATGAGGCAATGTAAAACAGAGTTACCAGTTTCTCTGAGGACAAGGACTTGCGAAATCCATAAAGCACAGTTATCTATCTCCAAAGACAAAGTGCTGTGACACCAATATTCTTGACTTGATGCTCACTGAAGTCTGACATGGTAGGCACAACGCACATTGTTTTAAGTAGGATTCTTTCCCTCTTGGACTGTTCTAATTGATAAGCTTTAAACAGGAATTTACACTTACATATGTATGTATGTCAACATACAAACATATATACAGGCTAGTTGTAACCAGATTAAACGAGGTGAAGTGGTGAATGACAGAAGCTAACTTCTGAAACTTCTGTAAATAGAGACTTGCAGACCACAGATGACAACTGGACAGAAGGCTTAACGTGGTGTCTATAAATACCTGGTCTGGGGCCCACTCCAGCTGCAGTACACACACACTACATGCATCATGGCTTCTGCCGCTCTGTTTGAATCAGGAAACAGACAAGCAAACTCGGGTTAACAATGCAAACCACACAGCATGCAGGGTTATAGTCTCCATTCCTTTGCCATCTGTAAAATCAGGCACTGATAGAGTCCAAGTTGGGAATTGTTTCAGTAGTTCGGACATCAAAACTATTTGATGATTGCTTCAACTTTCTCACAATGCGTAACGTGTCAACATCAACCGGTTTTTTAAAATAAAACTTGGAAAGAAATTCCACACATCTACACACAGAGAACTCATGGTCAAACACATGAGACAGATGAAAAACGTAGAGCCATCAGATGGAATGATGTGTTAAGAAAATCTTATGGAGTAAACACACAAAACAGTCACTTTCCAAATTTTTTTCTCACTTGAGATTTATGTTTAGAAGAAAAATCAAACCTGGGGACCAGCAGTTAGTGTAATGGCCCTGTCGCTGGACTCCCATGTAGTCGAGTGCGGTTCAAGTCCCGGACCCGGTGGCTTAAACTCATGCCGGGCGCGTGTGCGTGCGTGCCCAAGATCTCGAGAGGAGAATGGAGAAGAGATTGCTGTGTGGCTGTCCCCCCAGGGGGGGTAATTTCTCGCTTTCTCTCTGTCATGTGATCACACATGCCCTACAGCAAAAACCTCTCCAAAAGAGAAGAAAAACCAAACCTGACTGAATTCTATCCTGGCTTATCTTCTTTACCTTCTTTTTAAAAATTAAAAAAAAAAAGAATTATTAATTTAATTTATTCATTCATTTATTTATTTTTAATTTGCCAGAGAGAGATACAAAGAGAAAGAGAAAATGAGAAAGCAAACCACCAGGTCTAGGACTTGAACTGTGGTCAGCCATGTGGGAATGTCCAGTGCCTTAACCATCATGCCACTTGCTGGTCCCCCTTCTTTACCTTCTAATCAGTTATTAGAAAACATTGATATAGCTCTTATCCTTAATAAATTTTTTTTGAGAGATTTTTGTTATACGGTGCATGTGATCACCTGACAGAGAGACAGAAAACGAGAAATTGCCTCCCCCACCCCCGGGGCGATAGACACCTTGCAATCCCTTCTCGTCCATTCTTCTCTTGGGATCTTGGGGACGCATGCACATGCGCCAGGTGTGAGTTTTTAAACTGCCAGGTCACAGACTCAAAATGCAGTCAACTATGTGGGAGTCCAGCAACATAACCATCACACCCTCTGCTGGTCCCAATAATTATTTATCAAAGAGAGATTGTTGTTATACGGTGCATGCGCCCTCTAGAGAGACAGAGACAAAATGCGAGAAACCTACCCCCAGGGGAGATGACTATGTTGCAATCCCCTTTCTATGGATTTTGGGCATGTGTGCATATGCGCCTGGCTTGAGTTTTAAGCTGCCTGGTTCCAGACTTGAACCATAGTTGACTTACGTGGGAGTCCAGTGACGTAACCATTATGCCATCTGTTGGTCCCTCTAATAATTTTTAAATTGATAAAAAAGATAAAGATGTGTGTGTGTGTATTTTTTTTAGAATTTTTTTGCCATAGGGCGCTTGTACTTGCCAGATAGACAAAGAGACAGAAAGTGAGAAATCACCCCCCCAGGGGGGATGGCCACACCGCAATCCCTTCTCCTCCATTCTCCTCTCAGGATCGTGGGCATGCACGCACACGTGCCTGGTGTGAGTTTGAGCCACCAGGTCTGGGACATGAACAGTGGTCGACTACATGGGAGTCCAGCGACAGGGCCATAACGATAACTGCTTGTCCCAATATATATATATATATATATATTTTTTTTTTTTTTTTTTTTTAAAGGGGTTATCGGGACCAGCAGGTGACGTGGTGGCTAAGGCGCTGGCTGCTCCCACACCAAGTCCGGGACGCGAACTGCAGTCGACTACGTGGGAGTCCAGTGACATAGCCATTATGCTAACTGCTGGTCCCCTCAAAATATTTTGATGTAAAATATCTACAAAGATACTTTGCATCTACTGTGTCTAAATGTTTAATTTAATTTTGATGATATTGGAAAGTTTATGTTCCAAACAAATAGGATCTGATATTGTGGAATTATTTCACTATTTACACATTACATAAAATCAGCACAAGTTATACATCTCAGCAACGAAAGTTTATATGGATTTAAAAAAGAACCCTGCCTTTTATTCTCTTAAAACTGGCATATGGGACCAGCAGATGGAATTACATCATTGGACTCCCACATAGTTGACCACAGTTCAAGTCCCAGACCTGGCAGCTTAAAATTCACATGGTGCGCATGTGTGTGCCCAAGATCCCGAAAGGAGAATGGAAGAGGAAAAGGGATTACAGTACGGCCACCCCCTCAGGGGGTGATTTCTTGCTGTCTGTCTGTCTGGCAACACACATGCCCTATAGCAAAAGTCTCTCTCTCAAAAAAAAACAAAACAAAACAAAACAAAAAAATGCAACAACAACAAAATGGCATTTCCTGGGCCAGCACGTGGCATGGTGGTTAGGATGCTGGAGTCCCACCTGGCTGACTGTGGTTCAAGACTTGGATCCAGTGGCTTAAAATTCACAACAAATAAATAGATAAAACTAATAAATAAATGTTTAAACAAAACAAAAACTGACATATCCTTGGGGCCAGCTGGTGGTGTGGTGGTTAAGGCAGATGGATCCTACATGGCCGACCACACTGAATCTTGGACCCAGTTGCTCAAAAAACACACAGGCGAAAAAAAAAAAAAAAAAACAAAAAACAAAAAACAAAAAACAAAAAAAAAAAAAACACATATTATTTTGATTTGCTATCCAAAATCCCCAAGGAGAAACGGAAGAGAAAGGGTTGTGATATGACCACTCCCTATATGGGAGTGCTTTCTCATTTTATCTCTCTTCAGTGAATGTATGTGATATCTAGCAAAAATTTTTAAAAAATTGGTACATCCCCTTCATTGAGTCTAAGAACATCTATGGTGTCTATTTTAACCTAATTTTAAAGGGAATTATTGACTTAATTTTATTTATTATTATTATTATTTTGATTTGCTACAGGGCACATGTACTCACCAGAGAGAGAGGGAAAGCAAGCCAAGAGGTCTGGGATTCAAACTACAGTTGGCCCTATGGAAGTCCAGCACTCTAACTACCATGACACCTGTTAGCCCAATCTAACTTATTAAAATAAAATAATTACCCAGAGAAGATAACAGTTATTAGATTAGAAAATAACTGCTATCATCAACCAGTCCTTCTCAAATAATAGCATCAAAACTACAGAGGTTTACTCAAGTCACAACCCAAGCTGTTCTATGTCAAACAGTCAAAGGTAGTAGTGTGGACTCTGAACAAGGGTAGTTGGAAAATGCCATCTGCTATCCATGCACATTCTAAAAAGACCCAAGGCTTGACATCTGAATCTTTTCTAGTAAAGCAGCAAAACCTGGCTGCTCATTTTTAAACCTTATCTCATTTTTAAGGAGAAAAATACTCCCTAAACTTGTAACAATATATTTGACTGTAACTAAAAAATCAATATATAAGGGCCAGCAGATGATGTAGCAGTTACGTTGCTGGACTCCCACATGGTTGACCACAGTTCAAGTCCTGGACTCGGTGGCCTGAAACTCACACTGGGTGTGTGTACATGCATGCCCAAGATCCCAGGAGGAGAAGGGACTATAGTGTGGCCACCCCTCCTGGAGAATGATTTCTCATTTTCCTTCTGTCTCTCTTTCTTTCCGACAACTGCACACGCCCTGAGGCAAAACCACCTCAAGAAAAAAAAAAGTAATATATGGGTTGGCTTTCTGGCCTGGTGGTTAAGGCAGCTGGATTCCACATGGCCAACCCCACAGTTTGAGTCCTGGACTCAGTGGCTTGAGAAATGCACAAGGGGGACCAGCAGTTAGTGTAATGGCTATGTCACTGGACTCCCATGTAGTCGACCGCAGTTCATTTTCGGGACCTGGTGGCTTAAAACTCAGGCCGGGCGCGTGTGCATGCGTGCCCAAGATCCCGAGAGGGTGGCGTGGCCACCCCCCCTGGGGGGTGATTTCTTGCTTTTTGTCTCTCTATATCTATCTGTCTGTCTGGTGAGCGCACAAGCCCTTATTGCAAAAACCTCTCCAAAAAAAAAAAAAAAAGAAATGCACAAGGTACGTGTGTGTTCATGCCCCAAATTCTGACAAGATGAACAAGGGAGAGATTTCAGCAAGACCATTTCCCACTGGGGGGATGAGGGGTGCTTTCTACTCTTTCACTGACATGTTCTAGTGAGCACACAAACCTTCTGGGAAAAAAAAAGAAAGAAAGAAAAAGAAAAAGAGAGACCAGCAGTTGCGTAATGACTGTGTTGCTGGACTCCCATGTAGTCGACTGCGGTTTGAATCCTGGACCCAGTGGCTTAAACTCACGCCGGGAGTGTGTGTATGCATGCCCAAGATACTGAGAGGAGAATGGAGAAGAAGGGATTGCAGCGTGGTCATACCCCCTGGGGGTTGATTTCTCGCTTTCTGTCTGTCTCTGTCTTTCTGGCGAGTGCACATGCCTTATAGCAAAAACCTCTCCAAAAAGAAAAAAAGAAAAAGTCAATGTGTGATGTTAATCATACTAGTAAGTCCAGCTCAAGACTTCAAAATAACACAAACTAACCCACTTCAATAGTTTACATACTGTTCTTATGTGGACAGGTAACATTACTATTATCTCAACAAGAGCATGAAACACTACGTTCTGACTCATCTTTAATTATGCTTTTTCCTATTGGTTCTTCTGTCTTCAGAGCCAGCACTTTCAGTAAAGGTTTGGAAAGAGCAGGCTACTTAGTCACAGGGACATGCTATCCTTCACAATAAATGGGCCTATGAAAAGGAGTGAAATTTAAGCAAGCAATGGGGTGCCAGCAGGTGGCACAGTGACTAAGGTGCTGGACACCCATACGGCCTACTGCAGTTTGGGTCGAAAATCAGGCATGTGTGCATGCAAGCCCAAAATCCAGAGAGGAGAATGATGGAGAAGTTATTACAGTATGGCCATCCCCCAAGGGTGATTTCTTACTATCCCTTTCTCTGTCTTTCTCCAGTGAGTGCATACCCCCCATGTCAAAAACAAAACAAAACAGAACAAGCAAAACAGAAACCAAGCAGGCATTGAGTTAGCCCCAATGCCTACTAGTTAAGGGAGCCAGACCCTACATGGCCAACCACAATTCAAAATCTGGTCCCGGTGACTTGAGAAACATGCTGGGTCTATATGCATGCCCCAGATCCTGAAAGGATGAAGAAATGGAAGAGAAGGGATTAAATAAGGTATGACCATGCCCCATTAGGGGGTGCTTTCTCCCTTTGCCTATTTCTCAAACACACTTGCCTCCTGGCAACGAAAAAGAAAGTATATCTACTTCTGTAACTTTCTTCAGAGAAAATAAATGTTTTAGGAAGTCTACCAAAATGTGTCTAAGCAAATAACTCCTCAATCTACTTTGCACGAAGCAACACACTGTTGTTTCTTCATCTGCTGAATCATGGAGATTTTCTTTATTGTTTAAGCAACGGGAGGAGGAGGTAGGTAAGAAGACAAACAGTGAACACACCTACTGTTTAGATGATGACAATGGTTACTGATTACAAACTGCAAAGGCCCCCATGCCCCTCTGAGCCTTGCATGTCCCTGGCTCACCCAACAAGAACCCATGAGTCAGTTAAGAGCTCAGCCATTCCAAGTACCTGCATCCTCTGCTGACTTCTGAAGGGCTTCTGCTAATTCTTGGTCTGCAATCTCCTCTGGCCGTACATCCTCTCGCCCAGCTCCATACGCCAACCGGGCACACTCTGGTAGCTCTCCTTCAGGAAGGAAGGTGGTCTGTGAGCCGGTGGTGCCGATGACAAGTACATTTTTCTTCAGATCAATGGAACACTTGGAAGAAACCGAAGAATGATGACAGCAGATAAAACACCATGCAGAAAAATTATAATTCTGAATTAAAAATTCCTCTCATGGGGCCAACAGGGGGCAGGGAGGTTAAGGCTACTGGACTCCACATGGCTTACTATATGGTTTAAGTTCTCAAACCCAGTGGCTTGAAAAATGTGTCCTATGTGCTCAAAAACCCCGAGAGGAGAAACAGTGACAGGATTGCTGCCTAGTCAGCTTCTGGAGAGTGATCTCTCTCTCTCTCTGGCAAGCACACACCCTATAGCAAAAACAAAAACTCCACTTAAAAAAAGCAACACCGGGGTCGGCAGGTAGCATGGTCATTGAGGACACTGGACTCCCACATGGCCGACTATGGTTCAAGTCCTGGACCTGGTGGCTTGCTTTCTCACTTTTTCTCTCTCGCTCTATCCTTCTCTGGTCAAATTAAAATAAATAAATAAAAGATAAAATAAAATAATTATTTTTATTTTATCTTTTATTTATTTATTTTGTTGAGACGTTTTTGCTATAGGGTGCGTGTGCTCGCCAGACAGACAGAGAGGGAGAGAGACAGAAAGCGAGAAATCACCCCCAGGGGGTATGGCCACACCACAATCCCTTCTCCTCTGTTCTCCTCCCGGGATCTTGGGCATGCACGCACACGCGCCTGGCTTGACTTTCAAGCCACCAGTCTGGGACACGAACAGCGGTCAACTACATGGGAGTCCAGCAACATAGCCATTATGCTAACTGCTGGTACCAAAATAAAATAATAATAATTATTATTTTTTAAAATTTTAAAGAATTATTTTATTTAACTTTATTTATTATTAATATCATTATTATTTTTAAGTTTGATCAGAGAGAGAGAGAGAGAGAGAGAGAGGAAGTGAGAAAGCAAGCTACCAGGTCCGAGACTTGAACCGTGGTCGGCCATGTGGAAGTCCAGCGCCTTTAACCACCACGCCACTTGCTGGCCCCTAAAATAATTATTAAAAAAACAAAAACAAAAAACAAAAAACAAAACCACCAGGTAGTATAGATAGAGATAGCTAAAACAACAATAACAACAACAACAACAAAAAAACAAAACCAAAAACTGACCTTTTCTAAAAGTATTTTAAAAGTATTTAAATGCCAACCCGGGATAACAGTGAGTTAATTTAAAAGTATATATCATGATTATAACCATAATACACGGGCCCTCGAGCCACTCTTTCTCAAATTCAGGCCCAATCCTGCCTCTCCGGAGTGTATTTTACTTCTGCTTAATAAACCCCTCTTTGCTTTCCTCTGTTGGCATGTCTCATTCAATTCTTTGTTCAGGATGCCAAGGACCTGGAATAACATCACCTCTACCACTACTACCACCTCACAATATATTGTGGTGAGCCACGCTAGGAGCCAAAACTACGGGAAGAATAGGTAATAGCTCACAGAGACTTCAAGGATCCTGGAGTCTCTTAGTCTGGCTGAAGACATTCAGCCAAGAAATGGTCCGAAGGTTTTAAAATTGCAAATAACCCTATGACAGGGATCCCAACCCCGTGGGAGCTCTGAACTAGCATGTGTTATCCTGCACCAGTGACAGTCCTCCCCAACGACACATCTAGGGACGATCTCAACAACCTGCCCTGCTCTCCTGTTTGACAGGGCAAGAGTTCCATGATCCCAGGTAGGTAGGGCCAATGCCTCTTTCCAGCATGAAGCAGTTACAGAAGACAGATCACTCACCTTCACCGCCCCCAAAAATGTATTGGGGGGACCAGCAGTTGGCATAATGGCTATATTGCTGGACTCCCATGTGGTCCACCACAGTTCGAGTCCCGGACCCGGTGGCTTAAACTCACACAGCACACGGGGGTGCATGCCCAACATCCTGAGAGGAGAAGGGATTGCAGCGTGGCCATCTCCCCTGGGGGTTGATTTCTCACTTTCTGTCTGTCTGTGTCTTTCTGGCAAACACACGTGTCTTATAGCAAAAATCTCTCAAAAAAAAAAAAATGCACAGGGATCATGCCTCTCAGGGGCAAGACAGGGCAGGAAGAAAGCTAGAAAACAGAGGTGGATAGGAGGGCTGGAGCATCTGCCCATGTGGCTAGATAGGCAAACCAATCAGAGCAGAAAATTCCCCGCCCTAGGTAATGTAGGCGGGAGATTTCCAGTGCAGGGTGTCTAGCCAATTAAGCCACATTTGATATATCTGAGATCAATCAGTGGGCCCAGCCAACGATCAACCAACATGACCCCGACTAAGCCATTATAAACCACATGGAAAGTAATGACCAGGGTCCTTGAGTCAGTTCTCTCGTTCAGGCTGCTCCTAACTCTGGAGTGTATTTTCACTTTTACTTAATAAACTATCCTTTGCTTTTACAAAAAAAAAACCCAAAAACAAATTGTACAAATTTTGGAAAAGTGCCAGGGATGAGTAGTAGCCCCACTTTCCAGAAACATACAAATGACTCTTATAATACTGAGATCGTTCTAATAGTCTTACATGAAACATACATCTCATGTTTAAACTCTATACCAATTTTATACAAACTTTATGGCGTCACAAGGGGTAGAAGCAATCTCTGTACAAGCACCTCTACCTCATACTTGCATAATCTCACCATTTTTCTGCATTTTTATAACTACGCAGGGCATTTGTGCACATAAATGTCTTATATCTACAAAGTGGAGACCACTTGTTTACACAACAAAAAAGTAGGGACAGACAGTAACAAGTCAATAAATTAGGTTTTGTTTTGGTTTTAGCTTTTTGGAATAGAACACATGCCCTCACTCTCTAGAGAGCAAGCAAGAGAGAGACAGACAGAAAGTGAGAAATCATTTCCCAGGGGAGATAGCCATGAAACAATCCCTTTGCTTCTATTTTCCTCTTGGAATTTTGGGCACCTATCCACACACCATGTGATTTTCAAGCCACTGGGTCTAGGACTTGAACTGCAGTCTGCCATGTGGGAATCCAGTGCCTTAATCACCACACCACCTACTGGCCCCAAATAAATTTTTATTTATATATACTCAATCAGTTTAGAATGTGGTCTGATTTTATTATCTATAGAATGCATATTCTTTTAAAGGAACTTAATATTAAAACACATTTAAAAAAGTGATATAAGGGGCCAGGAGGTTAAATCTCTGAACTCCCACATGGCTGACTGTGGTTTGAGTCCTGGATCTGGTGGCTGGCTTTCTCACTTTCTCTCTCGTGAGCATATATGACCTACAGCAAAATTTAAAAAATAATAAAATTAAATTAAATAATTCCTTCCAAAAATAGCGTAAAAATACTGACTAGATATAAAGCCTTACTGTGAAAAAACAGTATTGACCAGTGGACGCTAAATGCTTCTTCAATGGAGGGAGATATATCTTCAATTATTAGGCTCCAGGGTAAAACATAACTATCACCATAAATCAATATACTTGTAAATTATTCTACCTGTACTAAATACTTTCAATGAAAATATCATATGTTTACTTTTCTTTCTTCCTTTACTTAAATAATTATTTTATTCAACTTTATTTATAATTTGACCAGAAAAGGACAGAGACAGTGAGAAAGTGAGAAAGGCAAACTGCCAGGTCCGGGACTTGAACCATAGTTAGCCACGTGGGAGTCCAGCGCCCTTAACCACCAAGCCACCTACTGGCCCCTGTTTACTTTTCTTAATCTTGAAGGTTTTCTCCCCAAGCCTCCTCAGAATTAATGAAGATTTGCTAAACTTACACTTGTTGTAAATAAATCATCAAAAAATGACTTGAGGGAACCAGCAGTTAGTGTAATGGCTATGTCGCTGGACTCCCACGTAGTTGACCGCGGTTCGTGTCCCGGACCCGGTGGCTTAAAACTCACGCTGGGCACGTGTGCGTGCGTGCCCAAGATCCCGAGAGGAGAATGGAGGAGAAGGGATTGCGGCGTGACCATCCCCCCTGGGGGGTGATTTCTCGCTTTCTGTCTCTATGTCTCTCTCTGTCTGTCTGGCGAGCACACGCGCCCTACAGTGAAAATCTCTCCAAAAAAAAAAAAAAAAAAGACTTGAATTCTAATCAGAATTTAAAAATTACAGAAGGGAACCAAACTATCCACTGTAATCTGAAAACAGACAACAAAATTATCAGATTCATGAAAGAATTCACAAAAACAGATTCAATTTCTACTGATACATCATTTCAACCCTTATATAACAACAACATAACCAATCAAAAACATTTTCAGCTTTGAAAAGTCACCCTTTTGGGTTTTCTACTATATTTAGTCAATAGAAATGATCCAAAAATAGCCATATAACATACAACAAGCAGATGCAAAAAGAAAACAAAGCTCTTGGGGAAGCCCACTGGCTGGTGATTAAGGCAGCTGGGCCCCACATGACCAACTGCACAGTTTGAGTCCCATATCTGGAGACTTGAAAAATATACCAGATGTATGTGTGTGAGTGCCCAAAATCCTGAAAGGAGGGGAAGATGAAGAAGGGATTGCAGAGGGAACCAGCAGTTAGCGTAATGGTTGTCGCTGGACTCCTACATAGTCGACCACGGTCGCGTCCCAGACCCGGTGGCTTAAAACTCATGCCGGGCGCGTGTGCATGTGTGCCCAAGATCCCAAGAGGAGAATGGAGGAGAAGGGATTGCGGCGTGACCATCTCCCCTGGGGGGTGATTTCTCGCTTTCTGTCTCTATGTCTCTCTCCATCTGTCTGGTGAGCGCACTTGCAGAGTAACCGTTACTCATGGAGAGTACTTTTCCACTTTCATATGCCCTCTGACAAAATGAAAAAGAAAGAAAGAAAGAAAGAAAGAAAGAAAGAAAGAAAGAAAGAAAGAAAAATAAAACGAAGCTTTTAATTACCTGATGCCGTTTAAGCATGTCCAGTCCCAGAAGCATGTCCATCGGCTGTTCTTCAAGTATAGAGAAAGAACATGCCAGGAAATCTCCTTCAATCTGAACCTGAGCTACAGTATAGGAGGAAGAGACGAGGTTACTGATGTTACCTTCAAAAGGCCCAGGCAAGCTTTGCAAACCTACCTGTCACTGCCTTGCTTCCTGAAATCAAGCAAAGCGAAGCCAAGGCAATGCATGCCAATAGTATGAAAAATCTAGGAAGATTTAAGTCTAAAAGTCAATAAAGCTCATAAAGTAAATCTGGTAGAACTACTATCAGAATACCTGGCTTGAAATGTGATGTCATTAGGATTTATATGCTCAGATGGTAAGAAACACAGGCAATGAAGGAGTAACAAGTAATAACAGGCCAATCCTACACAGTAACCACTTGCTTTCTCTAAGTTTACAAAAGGTTTCCTAAAAGGGAAAGACTCCAGCAAGGTCTTCCTGCCACGATCCACATCCATGTCTGAGTGCCCAGATCACTGGCATGTACATGCAGCTGGCTACAAAGGGAGGTCTCGAGGACACAACCCAGGATCTTCCCGTGTGGGTCATGGTGCACTACCACTGTACCACACCCTGATCCTAAATTTTTTCTTTGTTTAGATTTTTGCCATAGAGCATGTGTGCTTGCAGGGTGGGGAGAAAAGTGGGGGGTGGGGAGGAGAAAAGTGAGAGAGGAAGTGAGAATCACTCCTCAGGGGGATGATCACACTGCAATCCCTTCTCTTCCATTCTCCTGTTGTGATATGGCGCATGCACACTCACCCACCCAGTATGTTTTTCCAAACTGCTGGGTCTGGGACTCAAATGACGGAGTTAGCCATGTGGGATAACTGCCTTAACCACCACACCACCTGCTTACCACCTGCTGGCCCATAGTCCTATACATTTTTATATTCTTTCTTACTCAGTTGGCAGACAAACACAAACACACACACACACACTATGATATGGATGCAGTCTGAATGTGAATCCTCTATTAGTTATGTATGTCCCTAAAGTTCTTTCCCAGTTTGCATTTGTTGATGTTCTTGATGATGCCTTTCAATAAAAACAAATTCTTTATTATTTTATTTATCCATTCATTTATTTTAATCTGACCAGAGAGAGAGAGAAAGTGAGAAAGCAAGCCACCAGATCTGGGACTCAAACTGTGGTCAGCCATGTGGGAGTGTCCAGCGCCTTAACCGCCATGCTGCCTGCTGGTCCCTCAATAAAATTTGTTTTATGTTTATTTTGCTCATGAGAGAGCAGGTAAATGTGTGTGTACACATGTGAGAGACAGACAGTTGTCTTGCGTGACTCTATCTCCTTTCCCCAGCCCTTAGCGTATCACAATCTAGGTACCGCTCATCCGGTACCTCTCATCTGGCAATTTTCAGATAGAATAGAGACTAAAACCCTAGACTGGTCATGTAGCTTCCAACACTGTAGTTTAGTATGCAACTGTATGTCTACCAAGGCTGGGCTGAAAAGTTCATCATCATCTTTTTTTTTTTTTTTAAAGAGATTTTGCTATAGGGCACACAGGCTCATGGAGACAGAGAGATAGAAAGTAAGAAATCACCCCCTAGGGGGGATGGTCATGCTGCAATTCCTTTTCCTCCAGGGATTTTGGGCACATATGCAGATGCGCTGGCATGAGCGTTAAGCCACCAGGTCTGGGACTCAAACCACAGTTGACTACATGAGAGTCCAGCAATGCAACCATTGCGCCATCTGCTGGTCCCAAAGTTCTTCATCTTAATGAGGCCAAACTTATCAAGTCATTTCCTTCCTATCTTTTAAAGTATCCCTTCACTGTATCCAAGATATTCTTGTGTATTTTTTTTTCTAAAATAATTGGACTTTTTGCCTTTCACATCTAAGTCTAAACAAACTTGTGTGCATTTTAAGAGGAACAGTCCAGGGTCTGATTTCCAAGTCACTCTTACACACTGATACCCAGTTGTCCACCAACATTTTCTGAAAAACTTCCCACTGCTCTATAAGACTTACTCTCATTTATGTATGTTCCTGTAAGCATGGGTCTGTTTCTATTCATTTTCTAGACAATCATTAGGTCCTGTTATTTAGAAAGGGAAGATATTTCTAGAGTGTCTTGTCTGCTCTTACAATAAAAGAGCCACATACTATTTAAAATTAGTACAGGCCAGCAGGTGGCATGGTGGTTAAGGTGGTTAGATCCCACATGGCTGACTGCTTGGTTAGAGTACCAGACCCCAGGCTTGAAAAACATTCTGGGGGCCCAGCAGGAGACTAAAGAGCTGAATTCCATATGGCCATCTTTGTGGTTCAAATTCTGGATTCAGTGGCTTGAGAATCACACCAAACACTCTCCCCAAATCCTGAGAGGAGAGTGGAGAAGACACTAAGGACTGGCCATTTCCCCTTGGGGTGGGGGTGTGTGTGACTTCTCACCTTCTCTCTATAGCAAAAACTAAAACCAAACAAATAAATAACAAAAAATTCTGCCTTAGTCTCCCAAGTTACTGGGATTATAGGCACACACCACCATGCCCAGTCTTTTAGGTAGGACTGGGAATGAAACCCAGGTCTCCCATGTGGTCCCAGCCTATGGAACATAGTGTCTTAGCAGCATACACAACTGCAGCTGGGTCTTCTGCTGTTGCTTTTTCAAAGCATAAATTCCTAGGACTAAAAAATAATAATAATAAGAAAAAAGACAGCAGAAATCAAATTTTAGGACTAAAAAGCAGATGATAATAAGGAAAACTAAAAAAGCAACTCAGTTTTTATCATAGACCTCCTAAGAGGCTTAGGAATTTATCAAAAGCACCTCTGCAAATAGGAGTAGAGGGGAACCAGCAGTTAGCGTAATGGCTATGTCGCTGGACTCCCACATAGTCGACCGCAGTTCAAGTCCTGGACCCGGTGGCTTAAAACTCACACTGGGTACATGTGAGTGCGGGCCCAAGATCCCGAGAGGAGAATGGAGGAGAAGGGATTGCGGCGTGACCATCCCCCCTGGGGGGTGATTTCTCGCCTTTTGTCTCTATGTCTGTCTCTGTCTGTCTGGCAAGCGCACGCGCCCTATAGTGAAAACCTCTCAAAACAAACAAACAAACAAAAAAAAAAAAAAAAGAAGAAGAAGAAGAAGAAAAAATAGAGTAGAGGTAGTTCAAAGCAGGAACCCTGGGCTCAAAGTCTGCAGAGACACAGTCAGACCTCAGGGTGTTGTTCTTGCATTCTGCTCAGCCAGCTGACCCTTCACCCCTACAGTAGACTAGAGATCTACTTTCTAGAGAAGGTGAGAAAGAGGCTCTCTTAAGAGGTAGGAGGGCCTTCTTCATGGCCTACTAGTTACATCTGCTGGATCCCACATGGCTTATCGCACAGCTAGAGTCTGGACTCAGCAGCTTAAGAAACATGCCGGGTACATATGCACGTGAGCTCAAAATCTCAAGAGGAAGATGGAGAAGTAATTATGGTGTAGCTATTCTTCCTAAGAAGTGCTTTCTTTTCTCTCTCTGGTGAGCACATTAAACTAAAAACTAAAAAGCAAGGGGGTCGGCAGATGGCATGGTGGTTAAGGTGCTAGACTCCCACATGCGGTCAAGTCCCAGATCTGACGGGTTGAAAATCACGCTAGGTGCGTGTATATGCACACCCAAAAATCCCAGGAGGAGAACGAAGGAGAAGGAACTGTGGTGTAGCTATCCCTCTGGGGGGAGGGGGGATATCTCACTTGCCCTCTCATTGTCTCTCCCTGTCTCTTTCTGGTAAGCACACACACCCTATGGCAAAAATGTAAAAAAAGAAAAAAAAAGAGGTAGTGGGGCCAGCAGGTAGCATGAAGGTTAAGGTAGTGAATCCCATACAGCAGACTGTGGTTCAAGTCCCAGACTTGGCAGCCTGAAAAATCACGCCAGGTGTGTATGTGTGTGTGCATGCCCCAAATTCTGAGAGGTGATGAAGGAGAAGGAATTACGGTATGACTATCCCCAAGAGGGGGTGCGCTTTCTCACTCTGCTTTTATTTCTCTTGCTCTGTGTGTGTGTCTCTCTCTCTGGCAAGCACATGTGTTCTACAGCATATATATGTGTGTGTGTGTGTGTGTGTGTGTGTGTGTATAAATAAATAAAATAAATGTACTCCCAACCACCTTTTTTCAAGAAGTTATTGGATGAAGGACCCCATAAACTAAGAGCATGACCGAAAAGAAAGTGAGGGCTGGGATACATGTTAATTCAACATTAAGACAGAGGAGAAAGGAATCTTTCCAGAACAGGTCAAAGAGATTCTAAAACAACACCAGTGCTGCTGGAATCATGAGTCCAGACTCAGGCAAAAGTGTCCTTGTGGGCCGGCCCTATAGTCTAGTAGTTAAGGGAGCTAGATTCCACATGACCAACTGTGGTTAGAATCCTGGCCTTAGTGGCTTGGAAAACACACCAAATCTTGACAGGAGGAAGAAATGGGATTGTGGTGTGACCACAACCTGTTGGAGGTTGCCTTTTCCCTCTTCCCTTTTGGGGAGCACAAAGAAGGAAAGAAGGAAGGCCGGTAGACAGGCAGGCAGAAAGACAGACACTGGAAGACAGAAGCAGAATGATAGACGGGGGTAAGAGAGAGAGAGAGAGAGAGAGAGATAAAGAACAAGAGAAAGAGAAACGGAAAAAACGGAAGAAAGTATTTTCAATAGGATGATATACATGGAACACCTGATGTGGCTGAATTTATTTAAAGGCAATTTGCATAACTAGGAAGTTTGTGTAGGGATGAATAGCACATAACCATCCAACCAAACAAAGAAAAGGAACAATGATGAATTCTGAGAGAAAAGAACACTAGATATGAAAGAAAAGCAACCATATTCAACTACAAATCAACTCTCAGAAATGTTTACATAATGTATCAATGAACAATGATACAGATGTATTAATGTGGAAGTATGGAGGTAAATAGCCAAAGAAATCAGTAAAATAACTGAAAGGGATTATCTCTGAGGAGCAGAAAATAGAAGTGTGCAGAAGACTAGTTTTTTGGTATCTAACAATAATATGTACATGAATAACACGGACAGAACAGAGGATTTAAAATTTCTAAGAATTAGGCTTGTTGGATCAGATACACCCACACGAAAGAAATTAATAGACCAAAAAATGCAAAGCCTTAAAAATGCAGTACTCTATAAATACTCTGCAAAGACTGCATTTCCCAGTGCCTCTGCTCACCTAGATGGACTCGGCCTATAATCTTCTGCGTTCCCACTCCTTTGGCGATCCCTGCCCACCGCCGGTCCACCAGTCTCATTATATTACACCTTTCTGCACACGCTTGGCTCATGATAGTCATCTGGGCACCTGGAGAGGAGAAAAACACCAGATAACAAAACCCCTGTTGGTGGCACGACTCCAAAGGCAGCATTAATAACCAGATGGGAAGGCTTTTATCTGTAAAATCATTCCTACCCAGCAACTGTCCTGCCCCCTCAACTTCGAATTCCACACCAGAGTCTGAACCATATCTGAAACACAGTGTAAAAACTTGACATTGAAGAAAAGAATATTTGTTGCAATGTAATAATTATCTTACTGCATCTTATTTATTATTATTATTTAATTTGACCAGATAGACACAGAGAGAAAGTAAGAAAGCAAGCTGCCAGGTCCAGGATTCAAACTGCAGTCAGCTATGCGGGAATCCGGTGCCTTAACTACCACACCACCTGCCAGCCCTTAAATGATATTTTACCAAAAGTGGGACCAGCAGATGGCATAATGGTTACATCGCTGGACTCTCAAGTAGTTGACCGTAGTTTGAGCCTTGGACCTGGTGGCTTAAACCTCATGCTGGGCACACATGCATGTGTGTCCAAAATCCTGAGAGGAGAGAGAGAAGGGACTGTGGTTTGGCCAGCTCCCCTGGGGGATGATTTGTCGCTTTCTGTCTCTCCAACAAGCGCATGTGCCCTTATAGCAAAAATCTCTAAAACAAAAACAAAACAAAAACTTTACCAAAAGGAAGTAAAACTATCTGGAAGAACCTCCTAAAAGTTCAAATGCTACCCTTACAGATGTATAGATGGCAGCACTAAATGAAGTACACTGTGCCCAGCAGTAGTGGCACAGGCATCAGGGTGCCCTGGAGCCATCTAGGAAGCCCTGAGATCTGGATCTGAGTGGACCTCACCACACCAGGTGCATCCCTGATTTTGGCTTGCTGGAAGGCTGGGGGGCAAACTGCAGTGCAGTAAGACCCTGCCAGGGCCTCCCCTTCCCCTCTGCACATCTGTCTGTGGCTCTCTTTGAAGAAATTAGCAAATAAGACCACTCTGCAGAACAGCAGTAATGTGCTGCTGTTCAAGAGAAGCTAGATCCTACATGGCAATTGTGATGTGAATCCCTGGCCTGGTCAGGATGATTGGAGGAAGGGGATTAGGGCATGACCAGGTCCTGTGAAGGGTGCTGTCTCTCTTACCTGTACATGCATGCACATCCTTATTCATGAATAAAGAAAATAAGTATTTTTAAAAATTAAGCACCGCTTTATACTCAGCAGGTTCACTAAGTTATTGCTAAGCTTCTTTATTTTAAAAAAAGAATTATTCTGGAGTCAGCAGGTAGCACAGTGGTTAAGGCACTAGACACTCCCACATGGCCACAGTTCGAGTCCCAGACCTGGTGCCTTGGTTCTCACTTTCTCTCTCTCTCTTGTTCTGTATCTTTTTCTGGTCAAATTAAAATAAATTAACAAATAAATGAAATTAAATAATTATTAAAAAAAGAATTATTCTATTTAACTTTTTAAAATTTGATCAGAGAGAAACGAAGTGAGAGAGAGGAGGAGGGAAAGTGAGAAAGCAAGTCACCAGGTCCAGGACTCGAACTGCGGTCAGCCATGTGGGAGTCTAGGGTCCTTAACCACCACACCACCTACCAGCCCATTGCTAAGCATTTTATTAAGTTACTTTTATTTCAGACTCTGAGACATAGCTTACCAGTCAAAAAGTAAATCCTGCAGTCTCCCAAAAAAAAAGTGAACTCGCTATACTCTTTCAACAATCAGATCCTCTTCCCTTTGAAGATAAGGGTGGTTAGGGCATTTTCTCTCCCTCTCACATGTACTCACCTGAAGGCAGCCCATGCCAAAGGCAAACACCCCTCTAATCTTTGTCTACAGTCCCAGTATCTTCCCTGAACTCCAGCTCCAGATTCCTGTGTTTTGGACATTTCTATCTCAAAGCCAATGGACATAAAATTCCCTCGCCACACAATCTGCACTCCGCATTTTTCCATCCTTGCAAATGGAAGTATTTTCGCAGTCATAAAACCTGAGCATAATATCCTTGTGGGTCCTCTTCTCTTAGTCTTCTCTCTGCTCTCAAACTCTGCCTCCAAAACTATAAAGAACTTTTATGTAATTTCTGCTATTTCCAACCTTATTTCTTCTAAGCCTAGCGATTGGCCTACCTCACATCCTATCCCCTGGCAAGTGGACAATTTCTCTGACTTCCAAACCATTTCATGATGTATAATTTAAACGATGCAGTAGTTCTGACCCTCAGGGATACAGAATTCTCCAGCTCTCTCTCTGCCTTCAGTTTTGCTAAAGTATCACCTTCTTCAAATCACTTTTTTTTTTTTTTTTTGAGTTTTTTTTTTGCTATAGGGCGCGTGCGCTTGCCAGACAGATTTTTTTTTTGAGTTTTTGCTATAGGGCGCATGCGCTCGCCAGACAGACAGAGAGACAGAATGTGAGAAGTCACCCCCCAGGGGGGAATGGTCACGCTGCAATCCCTTCTCCTCCTTCTCCTCTCGGGATCTTGGGCACGCACGCACATGCGCCCGGCCTGAGTTTTAAGCTACCGGGTCCGGGAAGCGAACCGCGGTAGACTACATGGGAGTCCAGCGACAGCCATTACGCTAACTGCTGGTCCCCAAATCACTTACTTCTGCATCAGTTCAAATCCTCAATAGTTTCCACTCTTATTAAGATTAGTTTCAAATCACCTAACCACAGCCTCGGATCCCACCTTATCCTGGCCCACTGTTTATTTCCAGCTTTATATCTCAACTACTGTAAACTCTCCTTTTAGCAGAATTGTGTCCCCTTTGCCTCTTACTCACTCTGGCCCTCCTGTAAAATGTCCCCTCCTGCTCTGCTTTCACTTTCTCTGAATTTCACCCATGCTTTAAGGCTCAGCTCAAGATGCAGCTGCTCCCCAACTAAATGCCTCTTCCCAGTGATTTTTTTTTTTTTTTTGGAGAGGTTTTTTGCTATAGAGCACATGTGCTCACCAGAGAGACAGAAAGCAAGAAATCACCCCCAGGGGGGGATGGCCATGCCACAATCGGGTTCTTGGGCACACACGCAATGCACCCGGCTTGAGTTAAACCGCCTGGTCCGGGACTCGAACTGCGGTCGACTGCATGGGAGGCCAGAGACATAGCCATTATACCAACTGCTGGTCCCCCTTCCTAGTGATTTCACCTCTCATTCAATGCCAACACTTTCTGTTCACAGAACTCCTCTGTACCTTTCACTTTATGGGCACTAAGTGCTCTTGGCATTAGAAAAGAGTTAAGATTCAAGAAAGCCAAGAAACATATCGGGAAAACTGCGAAGGCAGTTGTCTTTTTTCTTTTTCCCTCCTCATTTTAACCAAAAAAGCTAGTTATTATGGTTATTCAAGTAAACAAATTCAAGATGGAAAGGGACCCTTTCATTGCTCTCCTGCCTGTTCTCAAGCCTTAGCTCAAAGCCCCAACTTCTCTCTGCTCAGAAACAGCTCAGTTCCAACATCCTCTCCTTTAGAGAGAACTCCAGGGTGAGAATATGACTTCCTATGTGCACCCAGCATTCAAATGGGTTCTGCAGTGTGGTGAAGAGCTCTGGCATCAAGCAGATCTGGGGCTGAACCTCAAGTCGACCACTTATAAACTCTGTATAGCTAAAGAGAAACTTTATCTTTTTCCTACCCATAAAATGGAAATAATTGTACAACATATAGTTCAGGGATATTCTGATGAAATAAAATCGAATAAAGTGATATGTATTAAGCACCTGGCGTGGTGCTTGGGACACACTAAGGGCTCAGTATGAGCTGAGTGTTGAACTGCAGTCTCATGTGCGTCTACCTGTACAGGGACCCTCGGGAACTCCAGCTGGCAAGTCTGACCCCAGCACTTAGCACAGGCATGTGCACAGCACTCCACAGACTGTTTTTAGCTGAATAACCAGAAGATTTACTTCTCCCAGGAGTGTCTGCATCTCAAGATAAACTTGAGGTTGAAACCCAGCATGTGCTTAAATATTTGTGGATAACAAATGGAGAAAAATACTTGAAAAGGGCTTTTAGTGCTCTAGAAACTCACCCTCTCTTACAGCCTTGAGTAAGACTCAGAATCAAGACACATACAACCACTCAGTCACATGCCCACATGGTGGTTTTACTAAAAAGCATAGGAGTTGTTGCAACCACCAGATGGCATAATGGTTACATCACTGGATTCCCACATAGTTGACTGCGGTTTGAGTCCTGGATGCAGCAGTTTGAAACTTACACTGGGTGCATGTGCATGTGCGCCCAAAATCTTGGGAGGAGAATGGAGGAGAAGAAACTGCAGCATGGTCATCCCCCCGGGGGTGATTTCTCGCTTTCTGTCTCTGTCCAATAAGCACATGTGCCCTATACCAAAAATCTCTCTTAAGATAAAAAAAAAAAAAAAGGCAAAGAGTTGTTACAGAGAGAAAAGGTGCCAGTAGGTATATGGTTACCTAAATCTTCAAGTGGTAAACTGTCTCTTCACCTGATTGTTAGGTTACTTAAGGGGAAGAACCATCTCCCCTATAGCTTTACATTCTGCACAGCTCCTGGCAAAATGCTGGCACACAGACCAGGCTATGTTTAACCTACACTCCCCAAAGTTCCTTCTTATACTTGTTCTAAATATGTTTACCTTCGATTTCTTCCAGAAATGTCTGAGACATTCAGGACACTAAATAAGGAGAAGTAGGAACACAAAGGAGATACTATAAAATACAAAACTGGCTGTAAGGGCCAGCCATGGTGACGCACTGCTCTGTAATGCTCAATCCATATGAAAGATCAGGGTTCAGTTCCTGGATCAACATATATACACTGTGTGTACTCCTGTGATCCTAGCTCATTGGGAAGGCTTCAGGGAGGGATGCAATGTGAGACCCTGTTGAGGGGTGCCTTGTTCTGTCTCTCTTTCATGGAAGAAACAAGTAAGGAAATGAACTGAATTAAAATAAAGCACTGGTTAAGAAATGATGAAAGAAAGAACCCTATTACCAGTAGGAAGTTTAGTAAGTGAAACAGTAGCTCCCAGGCTTGTTAGGTAGCAGTCCAAAGGACTATGGCCATCTAAACAGCCTCCCTTCTCCCATGTCAGGTGAGCATGTTGGAAGATTAAGATCAAAACACAAAAGATGGAGACATCACCTGAGTCAACAAAGGCTTTCACGGGATGTCCGTTTACTTTGCAGTTAATATAAAGCATCACCACTTGTCCAAAACTTTCTGGAGCTTCTTCCATAGCTATCGTCATGTTTTCCTCAATGTTCTGTTGCCTGTAACAAACCAAAATCAGGTATGCCAGAAGCATTATTTCCTTGAAAAGAAATGTCTCAAGGTCACAAAATTAAAAAGACATGCATTTCTTGCCTCAACTGTAGCAGCTGAGTCACGGAAATGTAAATTAGTGCTCTGCCCTGCAACAGGAGATTCAGCAGGCATTATCTTCATGGAAAACAATCCTGTCCCTTTTACAAGGTCAGAAATAGGAAAATAAACTCAAGAGAAAGGGTGATGACCCTTTTTAATCCTGTAACATGTTACAATTTCACGAATGTTCCAATTATTATTTTTTTAAGATAATTTTTTGCTATAGGGCACGTGCACTTGCTGGAGAGAGAAAGACAGAAAGTGAGAAAACACCCCTGGGGGGGAGATGGCTATGTCACAATCCCTTCTCCATTCTTCTCTTGGGAATTTGGGCACCTACACACACGAGCCCAGCATGAGTTTCAAGCCGCCAGGTCTGGGACTCGAACCATGGTCGACTATGGGAGTCCAGTGACATAACCATCATGCCTTCTACTGATCCCACAAATGCTCCAATTTTTACTGAGCATCTGGGCAAATTTCCTAAGTCCAATGTATTAAAAAAAATGCTTGCTTGGGCCAGCAGGTGACACAGAGGTTAAGACAGCTGGATCCCAGCTGAGCTGAGCTGACTTGACTGAGCTGTTCAAGTCCCAAGTTTGTAAACAAAATACATAGATGTTTCAGCTGCTTTTGCTGCACCATACCAAGGATTGGATCTTGTGGTGCCATGGTAGTCAACGCACTAGATTCCACATGGCTGACTCCACGGTCAAGTCCCAGAGCCGGTGGCTTGAAAAGCATGGCAGGTACATGTGTACGTGTATGTGTGCCCAAAATCCTGAGAGGAAGATGGGGCCAACAGGTGGCCTGGTGGATAAGGTGCTAGACTCCCACATGGCCAACTACAGTTTTGAGTGGCAGACCTAATGGCTTGCTTTACTACTTTCTCTTTCTGGTGAGCACACATGCCCTACAGCAAAAAATAAGGAGTTGCCAAATGGTATGGTGGTTAGGTTGCCGAACTCCCATATGGCAGATTGCGGTTCAAGTCCCAGACCTGGTGGCTTGCTTTCTCACTTTACCTCTCTCTCTCTCTCTCTCTCTCTCTCTCTCTCTCTCTCTCTCTCTGGTCAAATTAAAAAATAAGAACAATGGGGACCAGCAGATGGTACAATGGTTACATTGCTCGATTCCCATGTAGTCAACTATGGTTTGAGTCCTGAAATTGGTGACTTAAAACTCATACTGGGTACACATGTGTGTGTGCCCAAGATGCCAAGAGGAGAAGAGATTGCAGTGTGGCCATTCCTGGAGGGGTGCTGGGGGTGGGTGTGATTTCTTGCTTTCTATCTCTTTGTCTCTCCATTGAGCATACGCGCCCTATAGCAAAAAAAATCTCTCTTAAAAAAATAAACTAGCGGCCGACAGGTGGCATAGTTGTTAAAGGGTGCTGGACTTTCACATGGTTCGAGTCCCAGATCTGGTAGCTTGCTTTCTCCCTTTCTTTCCAGTCAAATTTAAAAATAAATAAATAAAATTAAGTTAAATAAAGTAGTTATTTAAAAATTTTAATTAAAAAATAATAACAATGGTAAATAAAACTAAATAAAAAAACTTTAAGGGGCTGGCAGGTGGAGTGACAATTAAGGCGCTGGACTACCACATGGTTAACCATGGTTTGAGTCCCAGACCTAGTGGCTTGCTTTCTCAGCTTCCCTTTCTCTCTCTGTCTCTCTCTCTGGTCATATTTGAAAACAATAATAATAATGAATAAAATAAATAAAAAAGAAAAAAAATCTTAAAAAAAACAAACTAAAAAAATTACTGAGACGACAATGGAGAAGGATTTCAATGTAGCCATCCCCCATAGGGAATGTCTCTTTCTCTTTCTATTTGGCAGGGGCATATGCCCTTACGGGTCAAAGTCTTAAAAAAAAAAAAAAATGCATTCATCACTGAGAACTACAAAAGTGTATTACAGTTTACTTGGTCCATGAAATCATTTCTTGGAACCAGCAGATGGCATAATGGGTTATGTCGTTGGACTCCCACATAGTCAGCCGCAGTTTTAGTCCTGGACCCAGCAGCTTGAAACACACAGTAGGCATGGATGTGTGTGTGCCCAAAGTTCCAAGAGGAGGATGGAAAAGGGATTGTGGCGTGACCATCTCCTCTGAAGATGGCCTGTCTCTCTGGTGAGTGCACATGCCCTATAGCAAAAATCTCTCTCTCAAAAAAAAAGAGAAATTTCTTTACAAATTTAACGTTAATGTATCAAAATCTTACCAGAAAGAAGTTTACAAAAGCTTACTCCCACATCTCATGTCTTCATTCTCAATTTCCTCTTCAGAACATTACCAAACACTATCAATACGAGTGGAAACTAGGTCAGCGGCTAGGTAACTTACCTGAAGACCGAGACTGTAATGGAACCAAGATTTGGGGTTAGCTTCTGTGAAACGGGTTGGTGAACTACAGGCTACCATATGGTTGTGTGAAGCATTTTGAGGAACACGGCAATGCCACACATTTACATATTGTCCTACTGTTTCTGGCTGCTTTCACATGGCAGTGTCAGAGCTGAATATGAATGACAGAGACCCACACGACCTGTAAAGTCTAAAATATTTACTATCTGGCCCTTCACGGAAAAAGCCTACTGATCCCTGATCTAAACTATAGAGACTATCCTATTTATAATAACCCTCTGGGTTCAACTGAACTGATAGCTTTATCAACAATTTTGTGATATTTAACTTCTCTGAAAGTCAAAGGTGCCCTTATTCAATTCAGTCAAGCAAAATAACATGTTATCATTTGTCAGTACATACCTCCATGTTACCATGGAGGAAATAGGCCTAAAAACACTCAGGCATTTGATACAATGACACAGCTTTCACCTTGCTTCATCTAACTACATTTAGAAATCACTGAAAATTAATTGTGTACCCATGGGAACCAGCAGTTAGCGTAATGGCTATGTCGCTGGACTCCCATGTAGTCGACCGTGGTTCGCGTCCCAGACCTGGTGGCTTAAAACTCACGCCGGGCGCGTGTGCGTGCATGCCCAAGATCCCGAGAGGAGAATGGAGGAGAAGGGATTGCAGCGTGACCATTCCCCCTGGGGGGTGATTTCTCGCTTTCTGTCTCTCTGTCTGTCTCTGTCTGTCTAGTGAGCGCACGGGCCCTATAGCGAAAACCTCTCTCTCTCTCAAAAAAAAAAAAAAAAAAAAAAAAAAAAAAATTGAGACCCCCC